GAATACTTCATTTGGCGGCCAGAGACAGTCGCTCCTTGTTCTCTTTCGTCGCCATTTAATCCACTTGCCTCGAACTACGCGGTGCGACTAATTCCAGCGACGAAATGTTAAAGCAACGACGCCGGCAGCGACGACGGCTGCTAGTTAGTTAGTTAGCGTGCTAAGCAGCAGGAACAACAATAGAAAATATTGTGCAGATAGAGAAAATATTAGACTCTGTGGTGGGAATAGAAGTCTAAAGTTGGTAAACTGGTTGGTAAAAGATTAAAGTCTAGAATTTTCTTTCATTCTAAAATATTTATAATTTATTGCTTTAAGTTATCCGATTTTTTTGGTAGTAATATAATAGATATTTTAATTTCTTCCCGTGTAGACACACATTGGTGGGGAGTGGTTAGCTAAGTGGGTGTGGGTGACATATAGCGTTCGAGACAACGATGTCGTGCGGTCTTGTGGCGGTTATGTAGTGGGTGCCGACTTAAGAGGGGGCATCGAGGTGCCTTGGATTGACCGGGCGATTTGCTGCGGCTTAGCCATTAAACTGGGCACATTATTAGTTTAAGTTTGGTCCGGACTTGGGTCACTGCTACGATTAACCGTAATAGGCGTCAATTGGAAAATTACCGACGATCTGCCGCACATTTGAGGCGACTTTGCCGGCGACAATGTATCCGTATCTGTTGGGTGTTTCGTGTTGAGATTGTGATTGTGATTGTGTCGAGGTGGAAGACAAAAGGCCAGGGACTAAGATTTCGCAGATTTGTTTGCTTACCCTTTAGGGTATACTCTGTAGTTTATTCTGGGTATTTTGAACTAGTTACTTAGTTTAACTTGTAAAAATTAATATGTAATAACTATATTCTTTAAGCTTATCTTTATTTATAAAAAATATTTTCTCAAAAGAAAAAGGACAAAAGAAGTAATTCGATTTGGAATAATAATAATAATAATAATATTTAATGTCAAGTTACCATGGCATTGAAATGTATATTTTTCCTAGAACACCATGCCGTCCAATATCCTCCCATGTCTAGCCTTGGGCTCTTAGTCCCTCGTGTTATCTAAATATTTGATGACTTCTACTGAGGTTTTCGCCGCTCATTTAAAATTCAATTTATTTTGGCAGCCGACCGCCAAAGCGACCCAAAAAGAAAACCAAAAATTTGCATTACTTTTGGCATTGATTTTATGCACGGAGAAGGAGAGCGCGACAGATGCCTTGGGTCGCGAATCTAGACGGGGAATCTTGGCTCCGTAATTCGTGTGGCAATTGTCTTAATTCGAAAATTGCAACTCTCGCGTTCCGCCGTAGACAAATTGTGGCCATGCACGAGTGTGTACGCATCTGGGCAACCACGATAATGATTGTGTCCCAAGATCCGACCAGAGATGACAGCCACAAGTCTATTTTGTTGCTGCTGCGGCTTATCTGTTGCCCATCAATGGGAGGGTAAATATATTCGAACACTGAGAGAAAAACTTGGAAACTATGATACTTATTCTTGGTGTTTTTACAAATAATAAAGGCTTATAGAGACAATATTTTGCTGGCCAGCTAATGTGAGGACTTATGGATTATAGAAATATATATCTTTTTAATGAAAATATTTCTTAAATATTAATATTATTTTTCTCACTACATACTTGTTAAATATACTCTCATACATCAGTATTATGCTTGTCTCTTTTGTCATAAACGATGACATGTGAGATTTGCGCGGTTCGGTCAAACAAAAACTTGGCGATTGACCTTTGACCCCGGCTTTTGCGTGCTCACTTCAAGATGGGCTTTTTTATTGTTGTGAATTCATTAGTTGCCTTCGTTAATTTGCTTATTAGTTAATTGCATTTGATGCTCGAAAACATATAAAAGCAGCCCCAAGCGAACACCACCAACAAGCTCTGATCTTGTCGTCATGTGATCGAAAAAGCCGACGTCTGAGCGAGCTTATTAAACCAGTTATGGATGCAGTTGTGTGCGCGGCTGTTACTTTTTTTTTTGCTTACTACAATAACAATAATAACACCAACTGGGGGATTTAGATCACGTGCGGTTTTGTCTGCCCGTTAGGGGCTATGGTAATGACTTGACACAGACTCACAGATACGATTGCACACACGAATACCATCTGAAGTGTGCCCACAGTATGTCTATCTGTCTGTTCGAAGCTTTGTCATTTCAATTTGCAAAACACTAAATGAAAAGTGTAAAGCTGAGTACAATCACTGTGACAAGATACTCACTGTTGCACCTTCAAAACACGAATTAGTTCCACTCAATTTGCTGTTAGAAGTTGAGCATATGTTCAGCTATCTATATTTAATCAGCCTATTCGCATTCATTATAATACTAAAGGGTGTGTAGGTGTCACCTAGGTAATTTGTTTCAATTTGTGATGATACCAAATGTAAATAGGGATTTAATTAAAGTAGTTACAATGCACTCTCTACTTGGAAGTGTTGCTTGAAAAGTTTCAACAGTTGGATTTATAAATGTAAATTTATTACAAAATATTTAATATATGAAAACCTAAACTAAAAAGATAGATTTAATCATATTTTTAATAACATTTTTTAATATTTAAATCCCATAAAAAGTATCTGCATGTCGCCTACCATCAAACTATTCAGCTCACCTCGCTTAATTCGATTATTGTGATATTTAATTTGTCACTATATATCGCTATATTTTTTGTTTGTTGTCACAATGTCCGCTTTTTTGTTGACACTTTTCGGTTTGCCCTAGCAATTGTCTGCTCATTAATCGCCCTAACCAAACATTAACTACATTATTGAGTTTCGTTCGGATGGAAGGGTGATTGCATTTTAATTTGATTTCTGCCGCTTGATTTCCAATTAAAATTTCAACAAACAATAAATCGGAAAAAATTCAAATGCCAACTGGAGCGTGCTAGCTGCTACTCATTGTTTATTTTTACTCATTTGTTGACAAATTAATATGCAGACAACATGAAGCTAATTTGGATTTCTAGTTCAAATAAGCCGACAAATCGTTTGGGTTGTCTTTCCCACAAAAGTGATGGATGAATATAGAAAATAAATAGACTTCAAAGGGTAGAAAATCAACAATATTGAATTATCGTTTGATTAATTTTAAATTAATTATAGTTTTCTACTTTTTATGCCTAAATCTGTTGGTTATTAAAGATATTTTTTAAAGCTAAACTTTCTGCAAATATTAAAAATTGTTTATTTTTTGCCGTGGACTACATTCTCCAGCCGTAATTCCTAGCTTTTGGTAATTACAATTCCTAGCAAACATCAGAAACTTTTAATTGCCCTAAGAAAAAGTCAACAAGAAATAATTAAATAGAACTAGAGCAGAACCTTGCGCGTCATTATCTCTCTCTCCCTGCTATCTGAGGTAAATATCCACAAGCACTGTGGGGATTATCAGAGATTCAAATGATAAATGCCAAATAATTTACACCCCAACCCAGAAAACGATTCCCCCACCTGACAACCGGCAATTATCTGGTGTCTCAGATGTTTTCCCTCAACGGTAATCGAAGTGTCAAATCAGACGATTGGGGAAATTGCAGTTTACTGTGAATGTCTAACATGCACGTAGATAAACTGTGAGATAAGCAACATTCATCTGCATATACACAAATTTATGAGGTCATAATTTTAATAAAGCAATGAAAAATAGAGCTAAGAAAAAAGTACAACTGCTAAGATACCGGGTACTTACTCTGTCACTGCAAAATATGGTAAGAAAGTGACTTAACTTAGATATTAAAACTTTTCTAATTCTTTCACTCTGCCGTGCTCAGCAAGAAAATTACCTTTTCATTTTAAAAGCCAAAAGTAGTTTTCATATCTTTCATATGTTATCATGTTAAGTCTCAATAATAATATAAGATTTTCTGATAAATTTCAGTTTGACATGTTTGAAATCTTCCCCACTTAAGCACAAATTCCCAGATTTAGTTATTAAAAAATTCGAAACGTAAACCTTACTAGGCCAGCAGCTCTTTCCCCCTCTGTTACGAACATTTCCAGTAGTTCGATATACCCAAGAACCCAAACTAGCACCGCTTAAAATAAACTTGGAGTTTCCATAACTCAATCTATAAGCGGCGCAGACTTTATGACAAATTGGCTCGGCAATCAATGAACTGTTCGTAAATTTCCTCGAGATTCAGGCAATTAATCAATCATACTTGATCGGAGGCGTCAGCGATAGAGCCTTTCCTATCGTCGCAATCTGGAGGAGTGCCCACTGTGTTGCCATAAAATCGAGATAGATACAGATTACAGATCTTATCGGTGAACTCACCTGGTTTCAAGTGGTTCCTTCGGCTATTCCAGCGATTTACAGCGCCCAAAAGTTTAGCCAATGTCGGGACCAATTCACACCATAAATAATTATCACTTAATTATCGATTTATGTGTCTATCTCGTGAGGGTTTATCAACAACAAACACATAATTTCATTTGCATATTTCGTATGTGATTTTTAAAGGCAATGGGATGGCCACGATTTATGTGGCAAACAAAGAGCACTTTCAGATGGCACTTGGACTGAACAGATCTCTACAAGTTGTATTTGGACGCTAAATTAACACTTCCGCGGCATGAACTCAACGGTTGATTCATCCCAAGTGAGAGATTTCCTTCACAGATCTCTGTCGGCAAACTTAAGTGGCTTCAATTGAGAGACGCCGCCCGGCTTTGCTCAGCTCCCTGCCAGAATATATATATCAGATATAAGTTATCCCGAACCGATCCGATCTGCACACCCGACTGACTATATCAACCGTAACCGCTCGCGAACCGTTCGATCGCAACGTAGGAACGCAACTGACTCGGCGAGATTACCGGACCGGCTGATCGGGCGACTGATAAGCGCCACAAAGCCCCACGAAAAACAAAGCCCAGCTGATCGTTGGAGCGGGACGGATGGATCTAGTCCCTGGGTATTATTTCTAGCATGCGAGAGAAAAACCTGAACGCATAATATATCATCATATATATATTTTGTAATAATGCAGCTTTGATTTTATTTATTGAACAATATGTACGATGTTTTCACAGATATCACAGATTTGGTTTAAGTTAAAAAAACAATTTTTAAAGCTTTCAAAAAGGTGTGACTAGATTTTGGCCATTGAGGATGAAGTTTAAAGATATTTCACTGATTTAAAACGACAATCTATACTATTTGGTGACTAAAATTTAGATAAAAGATAAATAATTAAACACATTTATATAGTGGAGTCAGAATCGTCACCGAGAACTATACGTTTATAGGCCTTGGTCAGCTGTTCGAGGAAAATAAACGAAAATACAGTGTGTGGCCCTAGACGACATAGATACGGGGTAAACCCTTTCCACAGTGCGGGGATACCCTCGTTTTTAGACACCTTCATCAAAACATCCATGGTGCCTTTGTATTCTCCCGATTTTTGCTGCTGGATTCGCGTTTTGGCCATGTCCAGTGGCATTGAGGCAATGGTGGTCAACAGTCCAGACATCATGGCAGCGGATGTGTGAAGTCCAAGTCCCGAGAAGTATGGACCAAACGCTCCCTTAAACTGGGAATACGAACCCAACTGGACCATATTAACGACCATGGCACGACCCACAGTAGGCGTACATCCTCTCCAGAGGGCAGTCACACCTTCATCCTTCACGATACGAACAAAGGCGTCGACCACGTTCTTATAGTTACGCCTCTCAGCAGGAGGCAATCGATTATCGGACATCATCCGGATCAAGGCTACCTCAGCGGGATTGCCGATCATGGCTCCAACAGCTCCAGCCAATATTCCCATGCCCATACTGGAAAAAAGAGTCGGTGGAGCATTAAAGTGATTTCGATATGCCTCGTTCTCCACTTGATAGAATCCCATTCGACCCGTCGTGTACGTGGCCTGTCGCATCAGGCCCGCACTGAGTCCATTATAGAACGCTAGGATGCCCTCGCTTTTAAAAACTTTCGCTAGACAATCAAAGGAGCTCTTGTACTCGCCCGTGGTGGCCGAAATCTGCATCCGAGTCTTCACCAAATCAAGTGGTTGGACAATACAGGTAGCCATCATTCCAGCTAAACCGCCATTGACGTACATCATGTAACTGGGTAATGCCTTTTTATCAACATTGCTAGGCATGGCTCAAACGGCGGACAAAATTTTGGGAAGAAAAGAAAGAAACTCGAATTTATAAAAAAGGTAAGGGGGAAAATAAGTTTGAAAGGCTATTTTGTTGGAAATGGGAAATTAGAAAGAACATTTTTCAAGCCTTCTTCGTTACTCTTAATAGTTACTTTCGAAATATAGACTGAGAGTTGGGCTATAATTTTATCATTTTATTGGCAATCCGATTTTATTTTTATATTCAGAAAAAAAAATTTTTTTTTATATTATATATAAGATAATAATAATTAGTTTTCAGAACAAGCGCGGTTGACAGAGACATTGCGAAACAATTCTAATTTTGGGGGTGAAAAATATATCATACAGCTTTAGTCCTAAGGTTCTGATGAATCGGATTGTGAATCACCGAGCACATGTTTGTTATAGGCCTTATTCATTTGCTCCAGAAAGACAAAGGACAAGATTGTGTGTGGACCCATGCGGATCAAGTAAGGTGTGAATCCCTTCCACATGGCAAAGGCTCCCTCATTCTTCACCACCTTCTTCAGGACATCGATGGCGCCACTGTACTCTGGCTTGCCTTCGATCATTCTCATCTGTTGGATACGTGTTTTGGCCAAATCTAGAGGCATAGAAGCCAAGGAGGACAGCAAGCCAGACATCATGGCGGCGCTCAGGTGAAGAGGAATTCCCTCATCAATATACCCTCGGAGGTGGTTCTTCATCAGGGAGTAAGAAGCCAGCTGAACCATATTCACTACCATGGCACGACCTACAGTAGGTAAACATCCTCTCCAGAGAGCTACCACGCCTTCATCCTTCACGATCTTCACAAAGGCGTCGCCTACGTTCTTATAGTTACGTCTGTCCTCCGGCATTAAGCGATTATCGGACATCATTCTGACCAAAGCCACCTCCGCTGGATTTCCAAACATGGCTCCAAAAGCTCCAGCCACAATGCCCATTGTCATGCTGGCCACCAAGGAAGGGTCGTTCTCGTAGTTCATTCGATACCAGTCCAACTCCATCTGGTAAACACCCATCCTGGCTGTCGTGTAGGTGGCCTGCTTCATCAGTCCTGCACTTAACCCATTGTATAAGGAAAGCACGCCCTCGTTTTTGAAAACTTTCGATAGAACCTCGAAAGAGCTCCTGTATTCGCGAGCTCCCAAGGTACCGGATATCTGCATTCGGGTCTTGAGAAGATCCATTGGCTGGACAAGACAGGTGGCCAGCATTCCTGAGGTTCCACCCATCGCATACTTCATGTAAGCGGGCACTGTTTTCTTTTCCACGCCATAAACGAGCGCCATGTTGGATGGAACAATTGATAAACTTTGAGAAAAGTGTTGGGAAAAATAAGCTGAGAATTGTGAGTGTGCTAGGGAATGAGTTAAATTTTTCTGTGACTTTTGGAGGGTTTGACTTCCTTGACAGGGCCTTCTTTAATGATTCGGAAGTTCATTTATAATCCGTAATGCTTAGTTAACAAAAGTTATCTTTCCAGATTTTTCCCATATGAGTATGAACATTCACCTAATGACAAGCTTTCGGTTGCCTTGCGGATTTGGGTCGCCGTGGCATTGATTTTAATTGTGGCAGTTAACAGGCCAACACCTCCGACCAATTAACGGACCTCTATAATTTTCCTCACAAACCAGATAATTGTCCCAGTTCTGGGCCACCCACAAATTAACGACACCCTGGCAAGCGGCTTATTATCTGTCTCGTTGGCAATCCAACCCTTTACCTTCACCGGCTTGGCACCCTTTTCCCCATTAGATGAGTACACAAAATGCTGTTTGGCATCGTTGGAAATGCAATTAGAGAGCAACTCAAACCGAAAGAACACTTTAGAGAAGGCATACAGAAGGCCCCCCAATTAGACAAACCGAAATTGTTATGTCAGTGCAGGGCAAAAACCAAACCGAATTTCATGTACTCGCAAATGGCGTATCGACAACTCATTGCGGGCTAATTAAGAACTCATGCGGTGGCAGAGACCAACAAAATATTGCTGGCAAAAACGAAAAAGCGTTTGGCGTTGATTTTCAACCGAATGAAATAGGGGAATAACTCGCATGCGATATAGCACTTACTTCATATTTACCAGCCAAAAAGTATGCTGCAGAATTTCTTATTTGCTAGCTCGGAAAAAGTCCGCTGATTAGATGAAAGCGCTGCAGTAGGTGATTTACAGATGGTACAGTGATACCTTGAAATGAGCTAAAAATTGGCAAGAAATATGGATAAACCCATGTTTTGAAGCTATATAAGGAATATTTTGGATTATCTTAACTATTTGCTGCAATAGTTTCTTAATGAAATAGTTTTGCTAGGCGATCTTCGTGCCAATTTAGTTAGAAATTTCATTCAAAAGTCTTTCATTAACATAATTATCATTTAAGGCCTTTGAAAACTTTTGATTACCATATGGCTTAGTATCTACATTCACTTCTAGCACTTAAATCCGATGAAAGGATATCAGAAGTACATTCGGAAAATTGGGATAAGCACACACAGAACCCCCTAAAACTTGAGGCATACTTGTGCTAACTTGGCTAACGATGCAAATGTTGTTATCAAGCAGTTTGCAACATAAATACTCTAATTATTTATGTGCATAAGTAAAAGTGGGGCAACAGTCTGCAGCTAAAGCAACAGCAACAGCAACAGTAACAATAACAATGGCAACAATGCAATCAAACAATCAGAGACAAGCTCGCTGAACTGAAATGCCAATTGTGAAAATTGTAAATAAATATTTTAACAGTCGACGGCAACAACAAGAAGTCGGGAAACTACAATAAATCAGATCATATCGGCGGCCCACTGCTGCGGTTTCTGTTGTGGTATATATATATATATTGATGTATATAGGTATATGGCAGATCTAGCGGCAGAGCAGCCCTACAAGCGTGGAACAGGGAAAACTGCGAATAGCTAAAAGAAAAATCGCAAAAAGCAAAAAGCGCCAACAACAATAACAATAAGGGGAACGACACAGCGACAACGATGACAATGCTGATAATAGCTATAGGAGAAGATGAAGAAGACGAGGAGGAGGAGGAGTCGAAGGAGGAGGAGGAGCGTTATGGTATCCGAAAGAATCGCCTGGAAACCACAGAAATTTACGCTCAAGCGAACCGAGCTGAACTGAACTAAGTTGAGGTGAAGCTGCTGCTAAAAGCAAAATGACAATAACAGCTGCAATTCCAAAGGGGTGCGGGGGGATAAAGCCCTCTGTGAGAGTCACAACAATGACAAAAACTAACTACTACACGGGGAAAAATACTTATCAAAAAGTTTTAAGGTTCTAAGAGGTATTAAAGAAATGCCAAGAACCGAGAAACTTTAGTTGAAAGAGTTAACAATACTAAATTACGATAACAAATAAATAAGTGTGTAGATTAAAGAAACCATTCATCGCCAAAATGCAGTAACTAGAAAGTTGGGGACTCTAAGAACCAACTAGTTGTATACTTAATATTCTTCACCAGGTATTATGTATATATTTCACTTCAACTAGTATGTACTAAATGAAAAAATCATTGTAATTATTACAACGTTAATTTTTCCCTCTGTGTACAAAAAAACGAGGCATTAAGTAGCGAACCGTTAAGAAGTCATTCGAAGTTGGATAGACCAAAAAAAAAAACAAACCTGAAGCGGCACTAAGCTGCCCTACGAGTGAGCAAGCCAGCACTAGGTGGTAATTTCTGGAGTAAACAGAGCGAATTCAGAGCTAAACCCGAAGACAAAACTTCGAGTGAGAGCAGTGAGAGCTGCGATCGTAATTGCGCTGGGCTAGAGAGTAAAAGTCTTTAGGCAAACGAGAGCGACGAGTAGCGAAAGTTAAAGCCGAATCGGAGAGTCAAAGATTAGCCGATCTGTAAGATCAAGAATTGACACCCAAAAAACACAAATCTTCTGAAAGAAGTATGTCATCAAAAAATCGTTCATTTGGTGTCTCTTTCGCTCCCTCGCAAGTTCAACGCACAATGCAAAAAACAGTTATTGTTGGACAATAAATCAATGACCACAGCAGACTAAAGATTCTAGGCATAAGAAGAAAAAAACGAGGAAAAACGAAAGACTCAGGCAACGAACTTGCGATCTTCGGCAACGAAGATCTTAAGCTCTCTTTCCACGGAGAGAGCGAGAGTGAGCTAGCTCAATTTGCTCGCTTTTCGAACTCGGAGCGGCGGGCTTTTCGAAGTTCAAGCTGTCCGGCAGCTGAAACTTTTGGTCATTCGTCAGTGAACCGTCGTGCGGCTCGAAACGCGACGCGATCATTTGGATATAGCAGTACGATCCAAGAAGATATATAAACACGATTCTTCTTCGCCGAAGAACGAACGTTTTGTCTGTGCCTGTGTGTGTGTGTTTGTTTATTTGTGCGGTGTGCGTGTTACCATTTGCATTTTGGCTTTTTTAGCTTTAACTTCGCTTCGATTTTCGATTTTCGTTCCATTTCGCCGCGTTGCATTTGCTCAGCGATTGCACTTCTCGGTCTTAAGCTTTTCGTTTCAACGGCTTTCGTTATTTTTGGTTTGAGGGGGCCTTAAAATAGCCTTTTGCCGTAATTACTGGGCTGGCCGCAAGAAAACGTGTTTGTGTCTAAACTACAGTTACAACCAGAGCAGCAGCTGCAGCTGCATTTCACTGAAAAGTGTTTGCCGAAAAAATAGTAAAAGAAGAAAAGAAATAAATAAGAAATAAAGAGAAAAAAAGAGTGCTCGGAAAAGAAAGGAAAACGTCACTCGGCGTGCGCGTTCTTCTTCCATTTGTTCGCCAGTTAACATTGTGCTCATAATTTATTGTACCCCAGCTATATGCAAATAGAAAGCAACAAATTTGTACAGCAAGTGGAATATTTCAACGTTTAATTTGGAACCCGTAAAAAAACTCCAAAAAAGGTAAAACAAATGCATTCTTATAACAACAAACTATAGATAATATCCCCACCAATGAGTATAAAGCTAATGAGGCAAATTGTGAAAACGTCAGAACTGCTCTGAACTTGATTTGGTTAATATATTCATTAGTATACATTTCTCCCGATTACGATTTGCATATCAGTCGTCGTCGGTCGCAGGTTCATAACTTCTGTTTTTAGTGGTCGAAGAAAGCTTCGGGTTAGATCATCATCACAGCTCACGTTTTTATTTCTTGTTCGATCGATGTTCCTTCTTCTGCAAAACAAAATCCCCTAAATAACACTTGCTGCACGATTGAACTTTAAACCGCATTCTTGCCCCGTCTGACTGCCTGGTTTTCTCGGCTCTCGCTCGGTCGGACGCATCTATCACAGATCGGTGAGTAGCAGTGGCCAATTTTCAATGGATCGAAGCTGCTTCGTGGGAACTCTTGACTCTTGAGCCCGAGACTTCGGGCCTGGCATTTCGCGGCACACATTTTAGCCCTGGCTAGCTAGCAAAAACAGAGCCAAAAACAGGCTTACAGAACAGGAATTTCCACTCCTACAACAAATGCGCCGACAATTGACATTTTTGTGTAATTGCCAGTTTTATTTTTGTGATTTTAGTTTGAAATTTTCGGTGATTATTGATTTTTAATCGCGAATTCCTAGGATTCATATTGATTAGCAGTCGCTTGAGTTTTATTTAAACTGAATTTAAGTTTAGTTTGCAAACTAATCTTACTATTACCAGGAATGGTGGTAGATTTCGCCATTAATCTAGGATTGAAGTTTCAGTTTAAATTTAAAAAACTTTTGCATTTCTTTTTTTTTAATTTTATTTTTTTTAGATTTTCTTACGTTTATATACAATATCATGTTCTATGATTTTAAATCGTCAACAATTGGAAAAAAATATAATGCTAAGTAAATTCTAATCTAAAAATAAAAGTGCATGGCAGTAAGTTTGACTTAGACAAAGATCTCTGGACCGAATATGTCCATCTTGACGGTTTCAGATCGGCTTAACGATCGTGGTTTCGGTGGAGTACTTGGCGCCTTAACACTAACAACGGGCGCCGCTTTGTCGGAGGTGTTTGCACTAATTTTAGTGTTGTTGGCGGAGGAGGATCGTTTCCGTCGCATGTTCTTGAGCTGATCACGCAGCTGCTCCTTGTAGACGAGCTCCCTTTTGCAGGCCTTCAGATCCTCCATGCTGCAGTTCCTCATGTGTCGGATGGTGCGGGATACCAGGCCATCGATTATGTGTATCTTGGTGCGGGACAGCCGCGTGGGTTCCGCATGACGGCGGGTCAGCTCGCTCTGGTACTGGAATAGCAGATAGCCCACGCTCGGACGAACTCCGCGTCGGTGGTTGGCAGTATTACGTTGGCTTTCCATTTTTTCTTCTTTTTATATTATAAAGACTGAAATGCGGATTGCGACAGAGCGAGCTGTGACTGCTTGGCAGTTTGAGCTGTGAATGATGTCCTGTTGTGCTTTACCAGGATTATTTATATCTGGGGCGCTTAGCTACCTGTTGACCCGCCGACTGACCTGCTGACTTGCGCGCATCGCGTAATTACCTGAAGTGCTTCGGTAAAACCAGATCCTTACCTCCATTTGTCCTTTCTCTATTTTTGATCCCTTTTTCCAAGTTGTTAAATATTTGACATCTCAGGCCAGAGGTACTAAACCTACTTGCCACACGTGTATGTGTCTCATATTTGTGTTGCGCGGCATTTGGCCAGAAATGGCAAATGTTTATGGCTTGACCTTTTGCTTAAAGACGCTTCTCATGAGCTGGCCACTGAGTCAATATGTGGATAATGAATAGATTACTAAGGTGACTAAGTGTCTGCGGATTGTGTTCAATCGTTTTGAGCCATGATTAACTAGCAGCCAACACTTGCCAGTGGAAAAATTTATCAATGGAAGAACGTTGGGTAAATATCGTATAGCTTTGAATGGAAAATGAATCAGTACAAAGGGAATCCTTAGATCTTTACGATACCATTTAGACTTTAAAGAAATTTAAATTTAAAGTTAAAGCGTTTTTCAACTCTTAAGAAAATCTAAATTTTATAGCATTCTCTGTCCTTAACTGCTTAAGAATTACACTCAACTTGAACCATTCCTCAAGAAGACCTCTCGTTTTCATCTCAAACCTATGGAAACTAAATAAATTCCCTCTCAACTCTCGGCAAATGAAAAACATTTATATTTAATGAGTTGCCATGAAGTGATAAATATAATCCCAAAGTGGCACTCGACCACTCGTTCTCCTCCTTTTCTGTGGCACAGCCCACGACTGAAGGACTGCGTGTTAAATATTTATTTATGAACGAATGTCTGCGACCTTGGCTTGACCCCCCTTGGCTTGCCATAAAAGGGATTTAATGCGGGTTGGTTAGATGATTTTAAAAATGCTTTTCATGTAATTGTAATTTCACTTAACGTAATTGACACGCGGCCCCCGCTCTAGCGAAAACAGCTACGAACCAAGTTAATTTCAGCTTAATTATGGCCAAAGGAAAGTGAAAATTCCCTTGGCCATTGTCTGTGGCTTATCGAACGAATTCTTTTAAGGAAAATTTATTGAGCTGCATTAAGGCCCGAATAATAATGGTAATAACAATAACAATGACCAGTGAAAGTTGCTTCGCATTTTATGGTAATTTTTTTGGTGGTAAATAAACGATGATTCAATGCCCATTTGGGTGCTAAATGCAAGGCCCTCAAGCTGAGATGCGCCAATGCTGATGATTATAAAGATGATGATGATGATGATTGTCTCTCGTCTGGTTAATATACGATGGAGTATATGCCATGACACGCACCAAGTTGGTGCCCCACCATCAGATCGAATCCAAGTCCATTTGCGAGACCCAGTTCATTGAGCGCGTTGAATTGGAAGCTGTCGGCGAGCTGTCAAAATCAGTTGGTCAAAATGCCTGCTAGCCCGCATCGCATGGATGGCCTTCTTCAGTCAACCAGCCAGTCAGCCCCTGGGCCACCGTTATGACCTTAGACTTTAGATCAGCCTTCCTACCTGCTACCTGATGATTACCCTACCTCTTAGCCCAAAATGAGCAGTGGAATGAGATTGAAGGAGCCCAGGGGCAGGTCATAAAACGCTGATGCTGCACATTTGCTTAATCCGGCGCGTGGTCTTTCCCAAAGTTCTTAATCCGGTTTCGAAATCCTTTTGTTTTCGCTACATTTCAGCTACTAAGTGCAATTATAAAAGGATTATGCCATCTTTCGACCTGAAGGAACTCTCGACCCGAGCACCCACTTTCATTATGAAATACCTGGAAGTAGTTAAGTTGCAAAAAGTCTGGTCTGCTCTTTCGGGAAACTGCAGTTATGCTAATGATTTACATTTACATACGCATCTCGGTGGGTTTCATGCAAATGCCCACGACACATGTGTAAATTGACGTACTTTACGTTGATGTCACTCAGGTGCTGAGCCAGAAAAACTCCGGTCTTTGGTTTACTTGGAAATCTCTTTAAATTCTTTTAAATGTTCTACGCTGTAGGTTCATTGAGGTTCCCCAAGAATTCTCTGGAATGGTGGCCGGTGAAAGGTTTACTTTGGGCTAAATGCAATGAACAAATACAAGTTCTTGGGAATAATGCTAAGAACTTATGGGAATGCATGGTCGAGAATGCGGTGGGAAAAAGCTAGTACATGGGTCGTAGAATATTCTTCATTGTGATAAATTAACTCAAACGTCTTGTTAACACATATTTTTAAGTTAATTTAATACTTTCCCATTAACATGATTTTTTAAGACATCAATAATGATTCCCCCTGGGAATGAAGGCTATCTTAATGGTTTTTAAAGTTGAAATTGAATATCACAATAGAACTCTTTTCTTTTGTTAACTAGTGTAATATGATACTACAATGGTAACGGTTTCTTAAGTTATTACTTAACTAAAATCAACATATTTTCTTACACAAAAGAAACAGTTCTGTTATTTACTAAACTTGCTTCTATTTCTTTTTCTTAATGAAACTCGACTTTGGAAAGTCAGCCATCTGTCAGGATTATTAAATCCCTTCCTCTGAGTTCCAGAATATTCTGTAACCAAACATGAACAAGCTCGTGCGAGATGGTCAACTGAATTTCTGTGTCCTGTTTAATCCTGAAATCACTTTTACTTACCCTTTCCCTGGCATTATGTGTAATAATGTCTGGTCAACCGAGCAAAGGCTTAAGGATCCAAAATGGGGATTAGGACGGATTAGGTAATGAAATATTTTGGCACAAATATTTACAAGGGAGACAAACGGCACTTGACCTGTTTTGACCTGACCCGAAATGACCTGCTCGGTCGTAGATATTGCAGACAGGTAGCTAACATTGGATATATAAGAACCGCAATCGGAGTTTTGGGATATCACTCGACTACGAGAAGTCAAGGCGAAGAGAACACTTTACTTTCACCCAACAAGTTATCATCAACATACCATAACTCGAATCATGGAGAACGAAAAGATGCTGAAACCCACCGTCAGCTATCACTTGTTCCTGTACCGCGTCGAACTGGCCCGTCGGAATGCCCGGCAGCTGCGGCTTTCCCGCACCAAGATCGAGATCACCGACGAGCTCATCTCGAATACGGTCCGCAATCTGAAGACGTGCAGCATGGACGACCTGAAGGCGGTCAACCGGGAGCTGCTCTTCAAGCGGAAACTGCGGAGCAACGTGTCCAAGCTGAAAAAGGAGGCCAAGCGGCAGCAGCGCGAGGAGAATCCACCAAAACAGGATTAGTGGCGAATCAATCAGACCGCATTGATTTATTGTATATAGCTTGTGTAAATAAATACTTATGATAAGACTTTTGCATTGCAAACGCTTTTGAAACTTGTTCATTTTAATGGTCTAAAGGGGGAGAAACCAAAACTGGTAGCTGATTCAGCTTGGCTTGGCTTAGAGCTGCTCGTTTGCATTGAACTAGAGGTGCACTGAGAGAAATATTTGAACTTAGAACTCATATGAGTGATTAACAGTGGAAATAATACTTAAGAATAAGAAAATCCTATTAATATTGTGGAAAGAAAACCCCTGAGAACTTGTTATTATAACTTCATCATTCTTAAGCTAACATTTTCTCTCAGTGCATAACTTAACGGCAAAAGCCAAGCAAAGTCACCAGAGATCCGCTCGAAAAAAGACCTCTGACAAGCGCTGACCCAAACCAGTTGGAAACTTTATGATAGCCGCTTTTGTTGTTTCCTCTCGACGTTTTTGTTTTTGCCAAAACCAACTTAATTAGAAATTGCAAATGCAATTAACAAAAAGCAAACGGCCAAATGCCAATGTTTTAATAAAATTTTAATTCGATATATATATATCATATATATGTGTGGTTGGCTGTATAAAGAGATACAAAGATTGGCTGACACTGAGCGAACGCGTTGGAAACCAAACAAAACTGGTTCGTTGCATAAATTAACGAAAAGGCAGCGGCAACAAAGTCAAAGAGTTAAGAAGGGGGCGGTGTGGGAGGCAGAAGTATAAAAAAAAAATGAGAAGAAACAAAAAGTTAGCAACTTGCTAAAAGTCAGAGAAATAAATAAAAATCAGCCAACGTTAACAGACGTTGGCCGAAACAGTTTTGCCTTTGTTTTCGTTGCTGGCTTCCTTTTTACCAACGAGGTCCGAACTCTAGACAAATTTATTTCGTGACATTGTTCAATTTATGTATGTGTGCATGCCCAGCTCTCCTCGGCGGAGATGTTGTAATAAAACAAGCCCAGTTCATAGATCGCAACAGATGTCGTCGTTCCAAGTTTCGAGTTTCGAGCTGCTGGCGCCAACTCTCAAGCTCTCGAAATAATTGCGGTGATCATTCTTGCCTTTAATCCCATAAATCATAGACTGTATAAGTTTTACTGTTGAGTTTTTATGGTCTGAAAATGTTTATAAAACTACATCAGCAGAAATTTAACTACACACTTACATATTTATTATTAAAAGGGATATAACAAACTGCTATGTTGTGATTTGCAAGGTTTTTTATTATTATTTTTTTGCAAATTCATGGGTATTTTTTATATTTTTGTCTATCACTTTTTTAACCATACTAATACCTGACTTTAAGAATCCAAAATAGCAACCATCATTTTCATTCCAAATTTAAGAGAATTCCATCATATTTTCCGCAACATTTCATAATTCATCAAAAACTGATTTACAAGCAAATCAAAGTTTTCATGCCTCTCTCTTTTGATTAGAATTCTCTTTCTCCGCCAATCAAAAATGGTTGGCTTCAATAATTCATTGTTTTTGCCACTGCCAACGATTATTGAAGGACAGGCGGGCTTAGAATCACAGACAACTTGAGGTTCGCTGTGTCGTTCTACTTGACAAATGGATTTCTGTGGCCTGACCCACGGCGGCAATAGCAACGAATTCGCTGCGGCATAGGAAAATCATCAAATCACGACTTTGAGCTCTTTTGATTGACATGCACAAAAAGGAGCAACACAAAAAAGTGGGAGAACAAACATTAACAGCAACAAAAACTACCGCCTGATTGTTCATAATTAAAGCCAGCGGCCCCGAGGCTGTTTGCCAGTAAAAATCGCAAATTTCGCAATAATTCTTTGGCGTCACCATAGTTGCCGGAGTCTCGAGGTGACAGAGAACGAATCTAACAGTTGGCTCTAACCACCGAGGAATTATCTCACATACTAGCTAGGTATATAGATATATATATATATATAGCATACCACATAACCAATACGCCCCGTTAGCCAGAGCGCTTATTAACGCATAATTAGCATATTTAGTGCGGCTCGAAGATTGCATCCCGCCGAGTAATTACTTCGATACCCTGCCTTAGTTTCGCTTGGATACAAGTGACATACTATAATTTGGCACTGCAAGAAAAGATTTTGGAAAATTAAAAAAATAAAATGGTTTTCTAATCATTAATATATATTGAGAGTAGACTCTTGATAAAATATTACTAAAAAGAAAAAAGAGTAAGTAAAATTTTCTTTTTCTCAAAGAGGTAATTGATTTCTCTAAGTGTATCCATTTCAAGTTAAGCCTCATTTAGTGCCGCACTCTGTTACCATTGCCACGAACCAATTGACCAACCCACTAGGCGGGCAGCCTCCATTGCCTCTGCTCCTGCCCCTGGCTCTACCCCTTTCCACTGCCCCCCCCACAACCATCTTGACCGCTGAGCTTGTACCGTTCACTTTGCGGGCATTTGAGTCGCCAACGCCATACCGTCGACAATGGCAACAACTACAAGAGCAACTCAGGCAACAATTGTCGCATTTGACATTTAGCCACAATTACTTTTTGTTTTAGCCGTCTTTCGTTGCTTATATTTGGCATGACTCGCTGGCCATATCTATCTGTACCCCTTTTTTGCATTTCCATAGCGAAACTTGTTATAAATTTTAAAATATGCACACTCTTTTTTCCTACTCCCCATCTACCACCGCCACTTTTGTTTTCAAGGTGTTGCAGTCAATTAAATTGCGACAAAAATGTTTTTTCCTCGTGCACAGAAAAACAGCTGACATGACCAGAGATTCGCTGGATTATTTTTAGAAAGTCGATCACGTTTATATCGGGGTTCGATTTTAGATTGTGGCTTATGTGGTTGATTTATGATTTTTCTAGGAGGAGTTTATATGAAATACAAAGTGATTCGGACTGAATGGATTTACGATCTCCATTGAAACCCCGTTTAAATTGTCCTTTTCTTCTGGCATTTCCTTTGTTTCTTGCAACTCCGCTGGCAACTTCAAAATAAGCAACCTGATGCCCCTGTGACTTGCATTGTGCCTCGAAGGTGTGGCCGTTGCACTTTTCCACATCTAGTCGGATATTCTGTGGTGGGCGTAAGCTTAAGACCCCCAAACTGGAATCAGACTTGCCGACATGGCTCAAATCCAAACTGAAAAAATTAAACACAACTTCTTGGGGCGGCCCCCAGTGAGCCTTTCATAACTTTTGGCATTTACAATATTTAATCATATTTCGTGAGGACCGTAGACGGGCAGAAATGTCGTTCGAGCGTAACTTATGGATACTTTGTGGGCCTGCATTTCCAACTCCATCTCCATCTCCATCGGCATCTGCATCTTTCTCTCAGCAATTTAACCGTTTTCATTTTTTATGCATGTGCATTGCATTTGTAGCTCATTTGCATTTGCGGTTGCTGGCTTCGTCATCCTTGTCCTGGGTGTCTGCCATGCAATTTGCTGCACAAAAAAAAATATGCGAAAAAATTGAACCGAACTGAGTGCCGGGCGCCGAACATTTGGCGGCATTAAATTTAATTTTATTAAAGAAAAAAACTTTGCACTCATATATGCATGTGTGTGGGAATTGCACAAATGACAACAGGCGCAAGTTGCTGTTGCTGTTGCTGGTGTTGCTGCTGTTGCTGTTGTTGCTGCTGCTGCTGCTGCTGTTGTCGCCACATGTTGTTGACGTGCATGTTGCCGCGGTCCGCCTTTTGTTTTATGGTTGGTGCGGGTGTCTCTGCGAACTTCGATAAAGTTTTCCGTTTACCAACGAGATTGAAATTGTAACAATTACGTTTTATATACGTAGATGGCAGCTTGTTTCTTGCTCTTTGGCCTTTTCAGACCGATGTTGCTGGTGGTCTTTTGTGGGTTTCCATGCTACCAGAGCACAATCCTTTGAGTTGCTATTCAGCATCTTAACCTGTTCGATGTTGCATATTCATGTTGGTGCCCAAGGACATCGAAGGCGAGAGTCATCATCATCAGTAAAGCGGCAGATGAAGAGGATTCTAGGAAGTGCACATGAAATATTTTTAAAAATTGAAAGAAACTTAATAAAACTTCTTAAATAATTCCTAATTATGGTAATAAAGGAAAATATTAACTTGGAGGATATAAATATTTTACATATAAATTACCTTTAATTACAGCAAATATCTTTATGGTTAAACAAGTTTAAGCTCCTGTTTATGACTTTAATAATAATCCGAGATAAAGTAAACAATTAATGCTGCATAAATAATGCAATGTTTATCTTTTCTTTCTGTGCATTGTCAGATGGAGAAGCCGCTATATCGAAATGCTTCTCATCATCATTTGCATATGTTACACTTTATTTATTGTTGCGGTTGTTGTGTTTATTTTTTCTCTCTGTTACTCGCCGCGCATTGCATTACAAAGAAAATGGCGTTATGGTGTTATAAGGTGGAAGGTGGGCTGCCGGCGGTGGTGGGGTGGCGTATGCAGAAGAAGGAGGAGGAGAAGAAGAGCAGATATAACTCATACGCAATGTTAACCTCGCTCTTTCTTGCTCGCATATTTATAGCAGTTACGTGAGACTTTGTTTATGTGACAATTGCTTTTTGTTTCACAGTTCGGCTTCTGCACACACGCGTTTATATATTTGCCGTTTTGTTATAATTTTTTGTTTTTTTGGGAGTTGTAATTTATGTCATTCGATTGTGCAAGAATTTTGCAAACATTTGCTGTTGGCACCTTTAGCGCTCGCCTGATGAATGGAAGCCTTTCAAGTTCTCCCTGAAGTTAATTAATCGTGCACTTAAAGAAAGGAAATCGAGATTGTGGGTGAAACTTAAGTTAAGGTGTGTACTTGGTGTCGTAATATGGAAAATAACTGTCTTTAAATTACAGAAAAACTGGCTCAAAGTTTTAAGAAATGTTTGCAACATTAGCTAAAACAGTTTATATTCTCCATTCAGAATGAATCATCATAATTGATATGCTTCTGCTCTCTGAAATGAAATTAGTTTCTCTACTACCTC